AATTTATCAAAAACAAGAGTGATCTAACCGAAGAAGGAATGGATGATCTTATGGAAATAATTGGGGATGAATCAAAAGCGAAACAAATTCTTGACGCGGCTAAAGCTTCAATGGGAACCGATATATCTGAATTAGATATGATAAATATAAAATGTTTTGCGGATAGAGTAATTGAATTGGCTAATTATCGAAAACAAATGTATGAATATTTATTGTCAAAGATGCAAAAAATTGCACCAAACTTATCTGCATTGATTGGTGAAGTTGTTGCTGCCAGGCTGATTGCTCATGCCGGTAGCTTAACGAACCTTTCGAAATATCCAGCTTCAACTGTGCAGATCCTTGGTGCAGAAAAGGCTTTATTTAGGTATAAATTACATTGCATTTGAACAATAAATCTGTTACACTTCAAAATAACATTATCGATAATATATCAGAGCTCTAAAGACCAAAGGAAATACACCAAAATATGGTCTATTATATCATTCATCTTTTATCGGTCGGGCAGGAGCTAAGAATAAAGGCAGAATTTCTCGATTCTTGGCGAATAAATGCACCATTGCTTCCAGAATTGATTGTTTTATTGGTATTATAATAACATGCATATTTTTTTATAAAATTTTTTTTTTAAAAAACTATATTTACGTAATAACGATTTATCTTAAAGATAAACCGACGTCCAAGTACGGTATAGCACTGAAAAACCAGGTTGAAGAGAGATTAGGATTTTACGAACATGGCACAGCAGTTTCAAAGAATATGGAAGTGATTAATAAGGTGATTAACGAGCTTAAAGAAGAAGATTTGCTAATGGATATCGATGCTGAATTACAAAGCGAAGAAGAAGTGGAAGAAGAATCAACGAGAAAGCGTAAAGCTTCGCCAGGATTACCGATAACACCGTCAAAGAAACATAAAAATTTGAAATCAAATGAGGAGAGTTCCGAGCCAGATAAAGAGACTGATATTGGTAAAGTATCAAAATCACCTATAAAGAAGAAAAAGAAGAAGGAAAAGAAACATAAAAATTTGAAATCAAATGAGGAGAGTTCCGAACCAGATAAAGAGACTGATATTGGTAAAGTATCAAAATCACCTATAAAGAAGAAAAAGAAGAAGGAAAAGAATGACGATAGTTCAAAATCCGACAAAAAAGATAAAAAAGTTTCATTTGTCCTTCAAATACCTTCCGAAATGAAAGCCATAAAAACACCAGAGAAATCAAAAAAGAAAAAAGTAACGCAATAATTAATTAATTCATCCTGAATATTAAGATTGTTGTTAGTGTTTTATTGCTGTTTTATTTTTATTATATTGGAATGATACAAAATAATAAAGATTCGGACTTTTGATAATTTTAACATGTATATGCGATGACGTGGTCATGTGATATGAATCAGATTTCTATTTGCGATCTCGAAAATTTTTATGGCCGAATCAGTCCGAATAACAAAATCGCAAAAGCATTTAAAGCTTTAAGTTTATTCAATAAGACATCATCAAAAAAGCTCGGTCATGTGATTATATAATAATCTGTCACATCGCGTCACATCTACCATGTTTCATTTTTTACTATGGATACAGTCACGTAAAATAAATTTTATTGGACAATAATCATATGATTTACATTATCTATCATGGCCACCTAATTTTTTATTCAAAATAATTATACATTTAATACATTATCAGGAATCCTTCAATATGACTTGTATTTTTTTACAGCATATAATACTTCGGTGCCTGTTAATCCTTTTCTATATATATCCATAAATCTTCAAGATCTGCGTGCATAACCTCTAATCATTTTTAAAGAAATTGAATTCAATGCTTCAGGAACTATTTTTACTAATCCCTTAAAAGAGTAATCACAATTATTACGGATATATCATTTAGCAACACCCCAAAACATCTCAATAAAATTAAACTCGCAATGAAATTTAGGGTAAAAAACAACTTTATGCTCACGATCTTCAATAATTTCTCTAATTAATGGCCTTTGGGCTAAAAAGTCTGGTTGAAGTGAAAGTATTCGAACTGCACAGCAATCGTCTGCAATTGGTGAATGTTTTTGCAGTCAGAACAAATACAATTCATGCCTCTTTCAGGTCACAATTCATGTTCCTCCAAAACTAAACGAATTCCTTTAGGTCTTCCATCTGAAAGATGCATTGACTGTATTAATCCATCAAGCATTATTCCGTTTTTGAATTTTCCTTTACCAATCTGAGTTAAGATTCATTCTTAATGCAATCAAAGTATTCTCTGCATATGCAGCATGAGATGTTGCATTATCAAATGCAAACACACCAATATCACCAGGATAAAGTTTCTCAAAAATCAGAATTGCTTTTTCAGTGATTTAATTATAAGATAATTTAAATTTAAATATCATTGTTTTTAAAATAAAAAATAAAAAAATTTTATCTGTTTAATTAAATCTTCAGTTTTTTCCACCATCCATCACGATTGACACCTAGTTTCATCATAACACATGCTTCATCTTTAATCAACTATCAATTTCTGTTAAAAAATCACTAACATGCAAACTTAAATCTGCTTCTTTTTTATGAAGAGGCTGATGTCTAGCAGGTTCCTAAAAAGATTTTTTACCATCATTAGCATAAAATACTGATTCATCATGAGTTACTAAGATATGTCTTTTATCACCTTCATTTAGAATAGGCTTTATTAACATCATGATATTATCATCTGATGGTTTTGGCATCCATTGTTCTAATTGTGCCATTTCAGCTAAAAATTCTTGTCAATATTCAAGCACATCAGGTCGCTCATATCATTATAGTAAATATCTTTACTTCCTATACGAAATGTTTATCCGAAATGTTTTAACCATACATATGTAGTGATATTTGAAATTGTTTTTTGTTTTCAATTCCTATACTTGAAAAGACTTCTTATTTAACATATGCCTTAAATTTATCTATAGTTATATCACAACCAATGCTCCAAAAATATTCAGTAATCATTTGATAAATATCTTTATCCCCAAATAAACTTTGATTTTTTAATGTTTACCATGTATTGATATTGGAATTGAACGATACATAACATAATTTTTTGTTCACACCCTAATTAAATGTGCTTGATATTCTTCCTTTACAATGCTATATACAATTGTTTTGCTTGTTTCCATAGATTTATAATCAGTTATTCTCAAATTAATGTATTGAAGAATAAGTTGCAATTGATTTTTAATTTAAAAGCTAATGATTTATCTTTGATTAATGTATTTAATCCTCTAATGCTAAATTAAACCCTTCTTTCTCTATTATTTCCTCAAGATTGATTAAATCATCAGCTGTAATGTTTACTTGGTCATTTAGTAATAAAGTTGGTGTTGATTTATTAAAGTATTTTGTGATGTTAGCAGAATTTTTACTTACTATTTTCATGGTTGCTTTTTTTCATCTTTTAGTTCGATTAGAATTTCCATGATAAGTTAATAATCATGTACTACTAAAAACAGTAAGATTTCTTGCATTTTGATTCATAATATCAAATACAGATAGTGTAATTTTATTAATAATTTTTTTCAAATTATCATCATTCCAAATACTGTCTTCCTCAGAATTATCAGATAATTCATCATCTGATGATAATCTATCCTTCCTAACTGTTTGTAATTTTAACTGTTTGCTTTCTTATGTATCCGCCAGTTGAACATTATGAGACTTAGGAGCATTTTACATAATTTTAAAGGTAAAAAAAGAAAAAGAAAAATTCGGGTTTTTTTAGGAAAATTCAGATTTTTTTTTAAAAAATAACTTATTTTTATTATTTAAAGGATTTGATTCTTATATTTTTTTTAGAAAAAAAAAATTTCAATTCCATTTTTAGACTCTTAAAGGATAAAAAAAAAGAAAGATTTGGGTCTTCATTTTTTAAAAGAAAAAAATTCATTTTTTTTAAAAGAACAAAAAGATTTGGAGGTTTCCAATATTTTTCTTTATTACAATTGCTGGCTCTTAAAACAAAGAAAATGAAAGAAATTACCATATATCACAAAACGATTGTTCCAATTATTCCATTTTAAACTGTTCTATTTTAAGATTAAAAAGGGTTGATTTTGATTTAAAATTTCTGATCTAAATTAGGTAATTTTTATAACTCCGGCCAACTTTATGATGGCCAAATTCGTATTATGATCTTAATACATTTAATTTAATAAAATACCCTGACTTTAATTTTATGTATCTGACATTACAATTTATTTAGCAAAAAAAGGTTCTGTTATATGAAAGGTAATGATCTGATCTATCATTTAACAAAGAGTTTATTTAAATTAGTCTATTAATTGATCACTTTTATTCTTTTAAGGGTATGTAACCAAAAGTGGTGGCTTTAGACCGTTTGCATCATAGCAGCAGCCTCATTACTAGTAATATTTATAAGAGATACAGATGAAATATATGATATAATTACAGCTGTAATTTTTATTAATATTGAACTTTTATTTATTCATCTGCTTGTTCTGAAATTTGTAATAACCAATTGGAAATTAATGTTAGTTCAGATATGGTATTATTTTTATGCTATCTATCTTTTATATAATTTGTAACTTTTATTTTTGATCAAGCTGTATATGTACATAATTACTATTTTTTTGATAACATTCAATATATATATATTTAGGTCTTTTTATATGATTTGTCTGATAATAAAGAGTTTATATTCTTTTAATGCATTGCAATAATACTGACAATTGCAAGTCATAAGAAGATTATGTCTTTTAAAAATCCATGAGTGATTAATATATTCTTTATCACAACTAAATATTGTAAAATAATAATCATATCTAATGCAATGATGCGAATAATAGAAGCTTTGGGTTGCCTTTTTTGTTTATCTTATTATTATATAATTGATTTTGATTATATAAAAAATGAGAATCACAAACTTCTAAACAAAAATAATTCTTATTAATCTTATTACCTGCTTCTTTATTTATTTATCAAATTTCAAATAGATTTCTTAACTTTTGCAACTTATTTATTGAATCACATGTTTGAAGTTTACCTTATACATAATCAATCACCATACAAAAAGTTAAATCATATTGAGAAATATTTGGTGTTACTATTTTAGATTCACTGAATTCATCTATAATAAATTCATTTTTGCTAATTTTACTATTTATTTCTAATCAATTATTAAAATTATCTTCTTCTTATTGTTCTTTTTTCTTTTTTTTTCCTTTTTTTCCTTTTTTTTCTTCCCAAATTTATTGTTATATTCAGAATATGATGTAATACTGCTAGAATCATACTATCATCTAACAATTATTTGAATAAATCTTTATCATATTCAAACTCTGCTTCTGATTACATTTGGTTTTATTATGAGAAAATTCTTTAGAAATATAATCAAATGTTTCTATTTTTTGTTAAAAACTGCTGGTGTCATAAAAATGATTACTAGTATCATAAGAGTTATTGATATTATATAAATAATTACTGATATTAAAAAAGGTTGCCAGTATCAAAAGAAGAAAATTTTTTGTTATTTAAGTTATTTTCTTGTTCTAACATTTGAATTTACATTTTTATTTGGGTTCGTTAAATTTATTTTAAAATTTCAAACTTGCTTAAAAAGTACAGGTAACTTTACTTTTTGATTATACAAAGTTATTAAATTAATGCAATATATAATCCATGCCTTTGAATAATACTATTTATTTTATTTAAGATATTATATTATAAAATAGTTAAATTTAGGACAAAATGAAATGTTGAAATAATAAATATTTAGTGTTTTATTATTTAAGTTATATGAAAATATGATCTGTAATATAGTTATACAACACTAATTAAAGCAAGTCACATTGTTTAAGTAGGATATTTCTGCTAAATGTTATCTAACTATTAACAATATACACAATATACCTGATAGATAAAATTTGGCTTTTATATATTTAATCCTAAACCTAAACCATAGGAATATAACTTGAATAACACTTGTTTAATAATATTATTAAAATATTCTCAAAAAGTTCTTATAAAATTAATTAATTATAATCTTCTTAACATTTTATCTAATAACAAGATTCTTAAAGGTAATAATTTCACTAATCTTTCATTTAAACCTATATATATCTTAAATAATATGACTTATGATTTCAAATATAACAAAAATGATTTGTGGATTTTATTTTAAGATATGTTAAAGGCATATGACTGAATAAATATCATAATATTATAAAAAGCCTTTAAATGTATTAAACTTCTATC